CGAATCGATCGAACGCAATGGTTCTAGAGACGTGATTAAACTTACCGGAATCTCGTCTCTTTCAAATGTCACATGCAGTTCTCCGACTTCCTTTGTGACATGTGCGTCTGATGTTTCCGGCCAAACATCTTCATTCTCGATGAACATCTTTGGAACCGCATCATGAGTCAAACGGCGCTTCGGACCAATGAAACAGCTCGGTTCAAAGTGTTCTTCGCATAGTCCGCAAACTCGAAGAGTAGACGCTGATAACCCTTTCAGTCGCTTATTACCTAGAACGCAATGAAAGAACATATTCAATGATCAATATAATTGCATCTAAGAAATTTTTCAGCAATTATAACTAGTAATAATCAAACAGCAGTGCAACTGCGACAGTTTGAAAATAACGAAAAATTACTGCATGAGTCCTGCATGGCAGATTCGAATTAAACAGCTGCAAGTTTGTAGAAATCATTATTATCTAACATGAAGTTTTTTTTTTCATGAATGTCTACTTCTTTTCAAGGCGCCGCAGATTCTTTAATCATGCATTTTTTAATTTAATTATACATTGATAGTACACAAAAATTCGTGAACCAACGAAATATTTTGTTTTATTTCAGACTAACAGTTCAGATACTATAATGCACGCCAGATAGTAACTCTGTAGCCCAAGCACTGCATATGAGCCCTTATAAAACATATTTCACACCAATTTTTAATTTAAACATTCTAAATTTTGTATACACATAAAAAATATTTGTCAACATCTAGAAAAAAAATGTAAATCATACATTCAAAGATTTTCTTTAAAGAAATTTAAAAAAATCCCTTTTTTTAAGCGCTCTATTGCCTGTCGCTTTCTTCATCCCATGCGCTCGTGTACTACACCTCCCACCGCACGCCGCCACACCAATCCCTTCCATGCCGAGCTGCATCGCGACAGAATAGTTTCGACGTGCGCCCAAAATGGTAAGTCTTGATTCCTTTTAATAGTATATCGTTCCTCCCTTTCCTTTACATCATCTTCTAGAGAGGAGATGTGTCAGTTTAAATAGGTATATTGCAATACAAAAACCTCATCGCAGGATGTACTGAAATTTTAGGATATCTACAAAGTTTAATGTAATTCGTTTGGTTTATTTTACAGAATAACAAAGAAACCCTGGAGAGTGAGACGGAGAAATTGGCGGCTCTCCTCGAACAGAGCGATTTGACGTAAGTTTAAAAAAACATGTTCGTGATTAATGTACATGTATTATTTTAGAAATTCCATTTCAAATTATTTGTATTAACGTGTTTTTGTATTGTTTGTAGAACCGAGAAGCAGCAGCACGCGGTGGCAGAGCAGGCCACAAAAAAAACCAAAAAGAACTCCAAACAGAACCAAAAGAACTGACGGGAAAACCGTGCAGTCAGGGACGACGTGGTGGTAGTAAGTACAAATTTTGTATGAACAATTAGTAACTACGATACATTTTCTTTAAATACTATTATATATTTTGCTCTATTTTCAGATGGGAAACAAAAACCAAATTGCCGGTGGAGCCGCAAGCAGCGGCAGGCGGCCAATGGTGGACAGCAGGCCCCGTATCGTGGCCGCGGAGGGCAAAACCGCCGTCCCAATGCTCGAAATGCACCACCAGCAGCAGCAACAGAAGGGGCAGACCGCGCATTGTGCATTATGATGGAGGCAATTCTGGATAGGTTTTAATTGTACTTTATCCAGAATTAGAATAATAAATTAATATATTTCTCTAATTGTAATGTGATCCCTTTATTCTCCCGCCCCGCCTATAGAGATAGTACTTTTGATAATAGAACCTTTATCTGTAGACTAGATCTTTCAGAGGACATACAAAATTTTGTGTGTATAAAGTTCAACTTATATTAACGAAATTTTCTAACTACTGACAGTGAACTTTTAAATACTGTATTAGACACTGTGTGAAGTTCACTCTAATAAGATTCAGTGTACAGACAAATGGTATGCTAGATAAGTGTACAGATAGAAAGTTCATATTAACAACTCACCTGTATTTTTTATCCATATTGCCAGTCAAGGATCGTCCTTCGTAGGAAACCTGTACAGTCTGGACTTGGTCGTTAACTTTCCGTTTGTACATCTTCTGTACGCACAGAAATCATACTGCCTTTCCTATTTCTTATTTTCGTGTTCCATAATTGAAACGCTTATATTCATTCACTCTATATTTGAAAACGCAGAGCGAACTGACACTCTCAAACTAGAAGAAAGAACTGAAAAAGGCTAGCAGAAGCCGCGGGAATGTTTTCAGTTTGCTTGCAACATTGTATGCCTTCATGGGTTCGCGGCATATTCTTCAAAAGGTTCCGTTCACTTTTACTTTTCTACGATTGCTATAGTTCATTCCCGATTTTCATGTGTTTTATTTGACAAATGGAAAACAATGAAGTCTCTAGCGAGGCGCACATGTCATTGCATATAGTATTTGTTATAAAACTGCATATGCAATGTCTTGAACTACACATATTTTATTTCGCGTGTGGTTTGTTTAGGGCTGCATTATTTTTTAACTTCGCCCTCCCATGCAAGCCAAGCAACACCGGATCAACAAAAATTAAACAAAAAAGAAATGAAGAAAAAAAAGCTTTCGTCTCTAGATGCGAACGCGGCACCTTACGATTACGAAGCTGAATCGTTGCCAACGCGCCCAATGCATGTTCTTCATACATGATAATCCATAGCTGGTGGAACTGAGCAGCCTCATTTGTTGCGATACGGACTCTCATGAAGACGTAAGAGAAAAATTGACAGCAATGGGAAAAAATCTCGTTTCATTCGCTTAACGCTTAACGCTTTTGCATTTCTAAAATAGATACATTTCTCCATTTCATTTTTTGTTTTAATTTTATGTCCCAAAAAATTCCGCTTATTAATATTGGGTAAAAAAAATGGAAAGCGTAAAAAACCCACACAATTATTTTACACATTGTGACGTACTGGGCCACATAGAGGGCCCAGGGTCTCGCAAATGCAGCTATCTCAATAACACGGGAGAGGGGGAGGGAATCGAAGAAAGGGGACACGATGTAGAATAGAAGGAATATAATTAACAATGAAAATGCTAATACAAAGAAAAGAATAGAAACGAAAAGATGCTCAAACAGAAATTAGAATGTGCGCAACGTAGTAACGCAAAAGACGCAACTCTAGACTAACACGCAATCAAAACAACACACGCGGGTGCTCGCTCGGGAACACGCGGTGTCAGAAGGGACCTTTAAACGGGTTAGTGGGCGAGGGGACTCGGGGGACGGGGGAGGCAGGGTATTGTCGAGGGGGCAGGAGGGACAGGACGGAGAAAACAACAAATGGGCGCCAGCTACTTGTTCGGCGTAGCACCGTCGAGTGACCTCAGAAGGTCCTCGAATATTTACTCAAACGCGAAATGGCACGGCTAGCGGTGGGAGAGGCGAGGGGGGTCTCAGGGAGGAAGGTTCCCGATCGCAAAATGGCTACTTTCTCAATTACCTCTGTGGGAACGCGAAAATGGGCAGGGAAGGGAGAGGGCACGGGGGTTTTCCAAAAAGGGCGCAAACTACTCTAGGACGCACGCAATATACCACGGGCCTCGAGTGTAAGGGCAGAAGGCCCGTCGCTAATACAAAGCAAACTATCAAAAGGCTAGGCCACGTGGGCCAGCTCGCAGACGTCCGGAAGGGACTTACAAGATCTACAAAGCAGGTACTAAGGGCGGATAGGGAAGGGATAGTAGCTAGGGAAAATTCAAGCACACTGTACTCACTCCACACGTTCGTCACACTGATATCCAATATGCACTCACAATATCTCACACTCACGCAGTTCGCAATTCATAATCTCGCAACTATCGTACTTGTTCGTTCGCAACCTGGTTTGAAGTGACGATCTCTTCGGTGTTTCCAGTCCTCGTTGTTTCCGTCACAGGCCTCCAGGGCCTCGGGGATTGGTGGGTCTGCCCAGCTGAGAGGGCTATGCGCTTTGGCATTGGTCGGCAGTTCCGGCATTGCAGGGCATTGGTCCTTTTCATATTTGGTGGACTGCCGGGCCTTCCAGGGCCTCGTGGCGGCGGCACGGCGCTGGCTTTGCCGGCACGCGTGCTGGCTGCGCGCGCCGGTGAAGATGGCGGCCTCCAGGCCTGTCAAGAATCTCCCGGGCACGTCTGCGGTCTCGGAGGGAGAGGGGTCCGCCGCTGTCACACGTGACTTTTTCCTGCCCGTGTGACGGGACTGCACCGGGACTGCATGTATTGGTGGTGATGGTGGTGGCTGGACATCCATCCCACGGGCGACTCGATCTGTTGTTCCTCCTGCCCATGCCATCCCTGCCTTCCGCTGCCTCGGCGACGTAGCCGCTCTCGCGGTCCATCCAGGGATGCTGGGTCCTCGTGGCAGGTCCACGACGATGTCCTCCTTGCTGGTGCTGGTTGTAGGTCCTCCGAGACGGTCCTCGAGCCAGTGCCCTACGGGGGAAGGGGAATGGTGGCAGGGTGGGAGGGGTGGAGGGAAGCGCGACGTAGCCGCTCTCGCGGTCCATCCAGGGATGCTGGGTCCTCGTGGCAGGTCCACGACGATGTCCTCCTTGCTGGTGCTGGTTGTAGGTCCTCCGAGACGGTCCTCGAGCCAGTGCCCTACGGGGGAAGGGGAATGGTGGCAGGGAGGGAGGGGTGGAGGGAAGGGGTCTTATCCTTAACGTAATAGCTAAAACATCTAAATAAACGCAGTTAACAATACTTAAGTCTAAAATGCAATACTCGAGGCCTATGGGACCCCGAGCCAGGAGGCGGAGGGGAGTCTGCAGTAACATTTTTGTTACAACATATATATGGTGAGATGAGACAAATAGTGTATCTGCTTAGAAATTGTTAGTTTC